TATATATATATATATATATATAGATAGATAGATAGATAAATAGATAGATAGATAGATAAAGAGAGAGAGGAGAAACTCACTTACTTCAAGAATAAGTTTAGTTAGACTTACTCTACTCAATAATTTATGATCTACTTCAATTTGAATCCATGAAATAGAGTATTAAATAGTTTTCAAATTTTTTAAAAATTTGCATAATTGATCTATATATTAAGAACTTTTAATTCAACGGTTGGATCATTAAAATTTAATGTATAATATATTATTGAGTGAAATAAATCTAAATAGACACATTCTTAGACTAAGTGGATCCACACACACACTCTGGTAGGTAGATACATCAAGTGCGTCTCTGTAGCCTCATCCATATTGAGAGCTATAAATCTATTAAGAGTTCATGGCTCAACCTCACATCAAACACTACCATAGGATGAAAAATGTGGTTCATAAGAGTATTTATATGACTTTCTTTGACCATTAATTGGTTCCACCATACTTTTCCTCTTCTCTCCTCCTTCATTTTCTCTTTCCACTGTTGTTGGTTCGCATGTGCAGGTGCTTCTTTCTCTACCATTCTTTCTTTGTTATCATGATTTTCCCTAATGTCACCTACTTTATCATTTGATCTCCTTGTACAAATAATGACATACAAGTGTTAATTATTTCATTATTATCATTGACACATTAATTATTTTGTTACCATTGACATATTAATTACTATTTTATCATTCGCATTAAAAGCATTTTTTAAATATTTTCCAACAGATTGATTTAATGTACACTATATAATGAGTGGCAGAGCGAGTCTCAGAGTAGTGTGAGTTACACATCTTTATTTTATATTTTGTGTTCTTTTGTGCATTGTTTGTGTTTTGATCTCGAGTGCCCGGGTTTAGATATGATGTTGTATAAACCTTAAGGAACGAATCAAATTTTAAGTTGAATTAGAGGCCCACCGAAATTTGCTTTTGAGGCAGTTGCTAGTGCGACGACAAATTACTCTCTTTCATTCTTTTTCTTGTAATATTTTATAACAATTTGAAAGTAAATTATTTATCTTTTTTGATTGCATTGTTCTAATGAATTTTTTGTTTATGAAATTGATTTAGTTAATATGTATCGAAACTCAACTCCTTGAGGAAACTAACAACAAGGGACAACTACAAAAATTGTTAATTTCGAGCAACTCCAGACTTTTACAATATTTTGAAGATGAATTAATAATTACTTTTAAAAAATTGGGATAGTTGAAATTTTGATCAAAGTAATAAAAAACTACTAAAAATGCAACAAACACATGTATTATCATCTATTTAATTATATGTCAAATTTGTTATTTGATCTTTGTGTCAAACAATATAAAAGTGAAAAATAATGTGATTAAAAAATTATCCAATATGCAACAATATGACTATTCAGAAAATTTTGATTTATTATTTTGGGATAAAGTGATGTTTTAATTAGTTGTATATGTTAACCATCTTGTTTTAATGTTAAAATTGCTTCTTATATGATCGCAATGCTTGATATTTTTCATCTGAACAAATTTTGTGTTTGATCCAACAAAAAAAATTATTATTTCTCCTTTTTATTTAATTTGATGAAAAAAAATTGTGTATATAATTATAAAAAATTATTGAAAATTATTAAACAAATTTGTATAGTCTCAATGTTGTATGTAATAGAGCTTCATATGATTTTAGCATTCATTATAAAAAAAAAAATATAAGGGAATGTCGTTGAAAATGAAACTAGTTTTTCTTAATCTGAATATGCAAAAAATAATTGGTAGTGTCATGTATCTCATAAATTATACTATTATTGACATTGCATATGTTATAAGTAGATTGATTATATACACTTATAATTCAAATGATGATTATTGAAAAGTATTTTTACTCATTTTAAAAGTATATAGATATACTATGAATTGAAGTTTATGATTTATTAACTTTTCAATTGTCTCAAAAGGATTTTATGATGGAAATTGGAGTTCAGATAATGAAGTAAGTGAGTTTATATTTATTTTAAGAAGTGGTATTATTTCTTAGAAATCAACAAAATAAAACATGTATAACATGATTTACAATAGAATTGGAATTCCTAATACTTGAAGTTGTAGGTGAATAAGCATAATAATTAAGAGGCTTAATGACTAATATACTTTTGTAAGGGCTATATCTCTAATATCTATTCATTGTGATTAATAAGTTGTAATTAGTGTGACTAATAGTACTTATAATGATAAGAAAAATCTTGGAGATCCTTTCACAAAAGAATTACTCAAAAAAATCATCCCAAATATGTTAAGGGAATGTGCTTTTACACTAGATGTGATGGCACCTGAAGTAGAATACACACTTATATGTCGATTGTTTTAAAACATTTAATGTTAAAAACGTAAAAATGTGAATTTTATGTCGAGTGTTATAGAACTAACATAGAAAATTTTGCCATAATTGTAGAGAGACTACCACATCTATTTCTGCGTTGGTTCTTAAATAAATAATGCAGAAGCTCGACATCAAACCTTAATTTTGTACTAATAGTTGTGGACATTTCATCAAAAATGAATACGAGCTAAATGTTGCCGTGACCCAATGAAGTAGACAAGTTACACTGAGTTGCGATAAGAAAGAACATAGGCGTGAAATATCAATACATGTTATTATAACATTTTACATCAATTATTCACCTAATCAATGTAAAATGTACTTTTTTACATCGATTAAGTTAAGTGAACACTAATGCAAAAATGTCTTTCTACATTGGTTATATAACAACTAATGTAAAATATAATACTCATACATTTTGTAACTTGCAACTTTTTTACATGAGTTTAAAGTTAAATAATTTATGTATAATTTTTCTACACCCATTCAAATTTGAATCATGTAGTATATGTTTCAATTTTTTTTTGTTATTAAACTCACATATGCACGCTTCATTCGCAAGTTTCACTTCTGTCATCGTCTCAGGCACAGAGCTTGAGCAACTTCCCAAATCTCAACCCTTAACTCACCCATTTTTGCAGGGTAGTGCATAATGCAACATAAACGTTCAAGTTATTGTTCAAAGTACAAAAATTGCACAAATATTGTCAATGTAAAAGGTATTTTTTACATTGGTTGAGTGACAACCCATGTGGCAAAGTTCACAAAATTTTTAAAATTATTGTTGATTCCTTTATGTGAGAACATTATTTGTAAAGGTTTTTCTATGAAAAGGGATTCTTTTAAACTTCAAATATGATTTATTTATTTATTTATTAGAATTATATATTAATCA